AATGAACATGTTAAATAGATACTCCCTGATTTCCATAGTCGCTGAAGCAGATAAGGTAGCGGTGGAGTGGCCCAAAATTGAACAAAATAAATTATAAATTGAACAGATACACACAACTACCTTCTTTGTTCCCAAGTGTCATTTAACAAAGTAGACAAAGAGCACTATGAAAATTCACTCACTGGTAGGATTTTCTTCACTGTTAGTAAGACTGTATTCTACCAATTATTTACTTGGGGTAACTTTCATCCTCCAGGTTCTCTAAGAACTGAACATGGGCCTCAGCAGCCATGTTTATGACATGTGATTCTGCATACCCCTCTACCCCATCCCAGCAAAGGATGACAGGACCCAGACCCAAAGTGAGCCAATCAGACTTTCTCCTAGGGAACAAAACCAGAGATTCTGCAAAGTTAAAAAAGCCTTTGCTGACTTATAATTGAAGGCTGTGGCAGCCATTATAATGCAGCCCTCTCTAGCCCTGTGCATGGAAAAGCAGCCAAAGCTGGACTGAAAGGAGAGAGGAAGAGGAAATAAAGAAGACAAGCAGGGAGACTCAAGGAAGGAGGTTATGAAGCTCCAGAGAAAAGGACTAACACAACCAGCTGTCTTGGACGCTAACTACTTTCTGGTTCTTAGTTCCTGGCTCCAGTCTTCTGTGAACCCTAATTGCATTTCCTACACTTGGGTCCTGGGAAAAATTCTGATCTTCACAGTACATTATCACATTTTTGCCTAAAGTAGCTTACAACCAAGAGCCTCCACTGAGATAAGCTCCATTAAATAGTGAATATTTCTGATTTACAAGAGAAGGGTGGGCCAGAACTCTTATTGCTCAACAGTAGAGGAACAAACCCACCGAACACATCTTGCATCCCATTTTGTTTTATTCATAACCTTTTTGCTGTTTTATCATTCCTCAGTCTATTTGTTCACACTACAACCCTCACAAGGCCACATTAAGGCACATAAGGGCCCTAAACTTTGATAATCTGTGGTGCCCCCTCTTCTGCTTACTCACACATTAGAATGGGATGTGTGAGTTATCTATCTATCTATCTATACACACACACACACATGTATGTGTGTGTGTGTGTGCCTTAGCTAGCCACGATGTAACTTCTTTTTAAATGTGATTACAATATTAGCAAGTGAACGCAAAAGAGGCAGAAGTTGCTTTTCCTTGTGTCCTGTCTGCTTGGTATGTTATAGGTCTCTGCTTTAGACATCTGGTACCCCTCTTTTATTGATGCCCTAAAGCACATACTTACCTTGCTTATTGGGTAATCTGTCCCTGTTCATAACCTCATAGTCTAAAAGTACTCCAGAACAAAGACTCTGTAGTCAGTCAAAACTGAGTTAAAAATAACTCACTGCCCTAGAGTCAATTCCACTCATAGCAACCCCTCCTTGGATTTCCGAGGCGGTATCTCTACAGAAGTAGATCGCTCAATCTCCCTTCCAAGGAGTGGCTGCTGGGTTTGAACTGCCAGCCTTCTGGTTAGCAGTCAGATGCCTTAGGCACTACGCCACCAGAGCTCCACCAGAGCTCCCAAAAACCTCAAATTTCAGCCATATAACATTTATGAAGGCTCAGAATTCTAAGAATTTTATTACATTATGTAATAAATGAATATTAATAATTATTCAATGACCCCTCAAAAAAAAGCTTGAATGTATTATTAGCCCTCATTTTAAAACTTGATGAAAACCAAGCAACTTGCCTAAAGTCACAAGGCACTAGTAATTCTAAGTCCAAGCCCCTAAACCCTAAGATAAACTGCTTCTTACTGACTTATGACCTTGGGCAAATTATTTTATTTGACCAATTTGCTAAATATTCATTAAGACAGTATTTGTAAAGTGATTAGCTAAGTACCAGAACACAGATTAAAGAGCTCAATAAAAGTCAGTTACTGTCACTACCTTCATTTGTACTGACCAGGTCGAAAATGTCAAACTAGTGTGTCTACAGTGTGCTGCTTCAAGCAGAAGTACTTTTAGTTCTATAAATTGCACGTTCTCTGGAAAGTAGCCATTTTCAAGAACTAAGGCAGTCAAAGCAAAAGGAACAAATTATGACCAATATTTATCTTGGATATGGTCTAAATTCTTTAAGAGACTGACAGATAAGAAATTCTTTGAGAGCCTGAAAGCAATAATCACGCTTGATGTTAGGGGGCGCCATACTGCTGCACATTATAGGAAACTCCGTCCCCAGAGGGTCTTCAGCACCCTTTGATTCTTCTGCAACAAGATGGTGGTAGGTAATTTCTGACCAGTTACAACTTTTTTTGTGGGCAGCAGTCTTCTAAAATTTCTTTCTATATTCATCCACAATTTCAATCTGAGATCCAATATTGTGTACTTGATGTATTCCCAATGCTTTTGCTATCACTTCACTGAGATAAAGGGCATTATTACATTACTCAATGACCTTCAAAAGTCCAGCAAAAAACAAAAAGTATCTAATGAGGATGAATGTATTAATGAATAAGTATAACTCCAAGAAATTAACAAAAAACCATTTGGTCTAAAATAAGTGTATATATTGGCAGTTGTGGAAACTGGATGACGGAAGTTCCTAACACCATCCTCTCTATGTGTATTTATGTCTATTTGAAAACTTCCATAATAAAGAGTTATAAATTTTAAAAATAAATTTACAAAGTTTGCCTTTTAAAAATGTAGTTTTTACTGAAACCTACTTGAAGGGTGCAGCAGGAAACCAGGTCCATATTACTACTTTGGGAAACAGCCTTGGTTGAGGAAAGAGAAGCAATTAAAGAAGGTTAAATAAAGATGAAACTAATATAAATCATGTAGAAATGGAATGTGTTTCAACAATACTTTAATAATGAGCTTCAAACAAGAGACCCAAGTCCTGAAGACATCACTAAGGAGACTGCTTTATATAAACAAATTAGCATTATTATGTTTTTACTATAATAATTGTTTGCTACAATCTTCTCCGACATTTGTTTCTAGTCAGGGAATATCTCAGTGTAGAGGGGATTCATCTAAAGGAAAAGAGAACTTTGTCAAAACAGCCAAAAAGGAAAGCTGGGTATAGGCAGATGATGCTGAAACCCATCTCCTCAGTGGAAAGATGAATTTTCTGACTTCAGTAACAGTCACCTTCTGAAAGGGTTAACTGCAAAGTTATTTTTTTTCCACTCAGAAGATAACCCATTATTGAAGAAGCCTATCTAGAGAATTTTTTTTCCTTACCTAGAGTTACGTAGTGCCTTTCATTCAATTTGTCAAGTTAATCTAGTCTGAAACTCTATCCTAACCATTAAGCAAAGCTAAATAGCAATATTTAACTTTCAAATACTAGTGATTGCTTTTTACCAAATAATTCTGACTTCTGTTCCTAGAATGTTCAGAGGAAAATTCCTAACACCTGAGACTAAGAGAAATTTTAAAAACTGATGGTAATGACCATCTGGAATGACAAGATGGTAAGAAGCCACCTTGTCATTCCAGGTTGAACCTATAGGCACCTGTGCCATGATGAACCTAACCCAGCCCAGGAGACAGGTAAGGTTTAATACAAAAACAAAGCCATGCAAAAGACAAATGACTTTCTAATCCACCAACAAAAATGATGGAAGAAAGGCAAAGAAACACTATAACCACAATCTTCTACAGGTTCAGCAACTCCAAATTTTACCAAAACCAAAGTAAAATTTAGAAAGCAGCAGTTTCTTCAAAGAAGATCTACTGTATTTGCATATGATTACTAATGATGCTTTCAGATAGTCTGAGACTTTCTGACTTGAAAGGTGTACAGCAATCTATTTCTCTACTATTCCATTCACTCACCTCGACCTGTATGTCTATGCATTTCAAGTCTTTACACTCAGCCTTTATTAAGAGCTTATGAGACAAATAAGCCAATGATGGCTTATTTTCTCACAGAATTGATCTTAAATTGAGAAATCTTACATACACTTTTAAAGAAAGGTACATAGGTGAATCTTCACTTTCCTCTCATGGCTGGTATGCTTTGCCTCATTGTGTTTCAGTTAAAGTTTTCTATACTTCTGAGAAGTTCCCCTGGTCTAATCCACAATAATAATAATAATAAAACAGATCCCTCAGAATTGCCCCTGGAAAAATGGGCTGAGTTATCATTTGAAGAAAGACTGAGTAGCTAGGCTATCCCCAAGTAATGTTCATACAACCACATCATGGTACCAACACATTCCAATATTTCTGCCAATCTACCTGTATGTGGCTCCAAAATGAAATACCACCCAGGGAGTCACTTCTGACTACATGAACAAAAACATCATTAACATCGTTTTTTTCTCTGGTGGTACCTGACTGCTTACTTCCTCATGGATTTCACCTCAATTTATAATTAGGAAAAGGAAGGTGATGGTGTACCGCCGGGCACCAGGAGAAAATTTCCAACTTAAGCAGATGGTCTTACAGTGTCTTGTGTACAACATGCCAACAGCAGCACTCAGAGGTGACCAGAAGCTGATCTTGAACTTTTTACGGAGGAGTTCTACCCTTTCACTTGCCCAATTCTTCCCACACCTGCTGGACGAATTTCACAGACCAACTCCCACACTGCAAGGTTATACAAGTGTCTCCAGAATTCTTTAAGAGTGCTTTTGTGGGAATACCACCTAAACACAATGAAAAAGTATTAGGTGACTTTAAAGTAGTCACAAACACAATGTTTCTAATACCCTTTTTTTCGTTTTAATCTTTGAGAAACTCCATCTCTTGAAATGGGAGCAAAAGCCACAGCTAATTTGAACCACCCACCAGAGACATTATTCTAAAGTCAACAGGTCATTACAATTACCTACCTGAGCCCCTAAATGAACCATCTCGCAAAAGAGCTGGGGGACAAACCTGACTGACTTCTTGGTTAAAAACTAAAGCTCACTTGCAGCCCTGCGAAAGCGGCGGACAATGATTCCCGAAAGCCCGCGGTCTTCGCGGGCATCAGTCGCGGCGGGACGCCCGCGCCGTCCTACCTTGGACCTCTCCTTGACGTAGTATTTGCCCAGCCGGCTCCCGCAGTAGAGGACTAGCCTGTCGATGAGGGACAGAAGGAAGCTGATGGCCTCGCAGCCCTCCTCGTTGCCCCCGATCCACGTGATCTGGTCGCCCCGCAGGTGCCGCTTGGAGACGCCGGCCCGCGGCCCAGCCAGCTGGCCGTCTCGCAGGGCCCCGTTGCAGTGCAGTTGCTTAACGCGCTCCAGGACGCAGTCACCCACCACCTCTCCCAGGAAGTTGTCCAGATAGCAGAAGCCGACCTCATGCAGACAGGGCACGATGTACTCCAGGGCGATTTTCTCCAGGTCCAGCCTCATGATGTGTCCCAGGGGCATCTCGCCCACAGAATCGAGATCGGGGACCCCCAGCGTGCACCCCGGGAGGTGTCGACCCAAGCGCGAGGCACTGGAAGCGTGGCCGGGGATTCAGCTACCTGCCGTGGCCACAGTCCCCGAGCCACCGCAGCGCCAGGGAGAGGGGAAAGTTGCTTGCAACTCTGGAGACTGGGCGTCCCGTGCAGCGACCAGAAAGAGTTGTGCGGGACTCCACGACCCAGCGCCGGACTAATCCAGTAAAGAGTGGGAGGGCCCTTTTTGGAGATGCGGAGCCACCAACGCGGAGGCGGTCGGCGACCGAAAGAGGCTGAGGTCCGGCCCAAGAGCCGGCCAGACGCGGCGCGTCACGGACCCCGCCCCGGCCCCGCCTCCAGGACAGCCCTCTCCTCCCCCACCCCCGCCCCGGGCCTATCACCCCCGCCCCTTCTCCGCCCCCAAGGCTAAGGATCCAGGCGAGCCGGGCACCCGCCCTGGTTAGCTTTGAGGGGACCTGGAGGACAGACTGAATGTTTAGAATGGTAGCAATTTGCATATTGTTTTGCTTAAAACCCATAACAAACTTAAAAACCTGGATCCCAACTCTGAAAATGCAAATGTAATCAACAGCACAGTTTACTGACACATTCTGGGGATAGTGACCTCACAGACTTTTGAATAAAATAATAAAGCCAGGAACAAGTATACATATTAAACAGTACTCTCATTCTTAGCTTCATCTGATGCCTTTCGTTATTCCTCTTTCTTCTGCTGTTTGGCACAAGTTAGGAAATTAAAGCCAGATAGATTGGGAGGAATCCAATTCTAACTAACTTTAACAATTAACAAACATTTTCCTAACCCCTCCTATGTGCAAGGCCCTATATTCTGAATGAGGAAGACTATGCACAATGAAGAAATATTTGCTGGGTCACATCTGAGTGAACCCTGCAAATATTTTGCTTCGCTAAATGTTCTCATTCACTTATCTTTCAACTTTCTAACTGAGATATGATGTTCTAAAATTCTACTTTCAAAATTAATTATGTGGCAACAGTTAGTATAGGTATATCCTCAGTAAATAAATAGACTGTATTCTGGGTCCCTCTTCTACTTTTCCCAGCCATCACTGCACCAAAGGGATAGATACCACATAGAAGACTTTAGTGATCCAAAGGTAAATTGACTGTTTTATGGATTATTGATCCCCTTACCTACCAAACACCAAGGATCCAAGTCAGAGAAAAAATATTCATAAATTACAAGCAAAGCTATTTCCATATTTTATCATTTTACAATAGTTTGCACTCAAGTTCTTCGTTGAACTTAAATTTATCTTGTACACAATCTCCTACAGTTTTTTTTTTAACTTTTATTCTCCTTCCAATTGCCCCACCTCTCTGCTTCTGAGGGGCAAAATATGGAAGAAGAAATGGAGTAAGGTCCAGGCCAGGAAGAAAAGGATGCTGCTGTTACATGATGGAAGCAGCAGACGGGCAGGTGGCCAAGTAAGAACTTGGCCATAGTAGAGTGTTTAAGAAACTGGTGAAACTTCTAGTTACTTTAAGGGAAGTTCTTTGCCAGTTCAGTGATTAGTTTGCACTTCTGGTGTGACCTTTCAGTAAGAGGCGCACCTCCTCCAGATAAAGGCGTGAATTGGCCAGCTCTCAGAAAACGTCATCTAAATTCCTAGGGAGCTCTATGATAACTCCCCAGAGCCTGGAACATACTGCTGTCAAGTTGGACCTAACTCATAGAGACCCCTCCTTGGGTTTCTGAGGCAATATCATTATGGAAGTAGATTGTCCGACCTTCCTTCCGGGGAGTGGCTGTGGATTTGAACCTCCACCCTTCTGGTTAGCAGTCACATGCCTTAGGTACTATGTCACCAGAGCTCCTAGAGCCTGGAACATAGTGGGTACCTAATTAGCCACTCCTGGGAAGGAAGGTTGGGCAATCTACTTCCGTAGTGATACTGCCTCGGAAACCCAAGGAGGGGTCGCTATAAGTTGGGTCCAACTCGAGGGCAAATAACAACAACAACAATAAATAGTTACTGGGAACTTGGTGCCTGAGCCTGAGCCATGGACACTGTCACATAGCATTCGGGCATGTCTGGAGGTCTTCAGGAAGGGTCTATGTGTGTGAGGGACTCAGAAGCCTCCCCAGAGAGAATTGACTGGAAGAGAGTACCAGCCAGATCAGCCTGGCCCAAAATAAAACTTCAGTGGCCTGTGGAAAGGAGCAGTGGGGTGCTCTGTAGGCTGTTTGTCTCTCAGGTTTGTCCTCCCATCCAGCCACAGAAGATATGTGAGTCCTGGGAGTGGTAGGCTTAAAGTAAAAGCTGGAGGAACTGTTTATTTGCAGCAAGGAGTGAAATGGGATGCAATAGTAAAAGGCAAGGTGGCCCTTTTCTCCACTTCTACTTGAACCCGAAGTAGCCAAAAATGGTTTAGGCCTCTTTCGTGATCTAGAAAGGCCTTTATGGATAGTGAGGTGATGAAAATCGTGGTCTGAGGTGGCTTGAGTGTGCACCCTGGTAGGCTGTGGCTTTTGGTTTTTGCATCTTTGGAGATCCTTGTAAACCTCACAAGTAGATACCCTGGCGGGGGGAACATTGCTGTCAAGTCGATGCTGATTCGTAGTGACCCTCTAGGAAAGAGTAGAACTGTCCCATAGTGTTTCCAAGGCTGTAAATCTTTACAGAAGCAGACTGCCACACAGCATCTGTGGTGTGGAACTACTGACCTTTTGGTTAGCAGCTGACAGCTTAACTACTGTGCTACAAAGGCTCCAGATATCCTGAAGAGGGCTAGAATTAAAAAGGGAAAAATGGCAGATAAGCCACTTCTGGCCAAAATTTTCTAACTGACATTTCTTTGTAGATATTCCTCCTAGGAATAATTAGAGAAAGATTTACCAAGAACAACAAACCTGAAGGGTATGGTGGCCAATATAATAGAAGTATATAACCACCACCCTTACTGAATATGTTGACCTTACCTTAAATCTCAGAACTGAGTCGATTTGGCTTATTATTCAAATAATTTCAGAGTAAAGTTGTAACAGAGGAAGAGAAAAAAGTCTTAAAGAGCCCTTCTCTGAAGGAATAGTCTAAGCAAGTTCTTCCAAGACTGCTGGCCTTAAAAATTTCCAGATTACTCTGGTTGCAAAACATGGGCAGTTTAGACAGGAATTCAATTTGTTAGCACCATTTCTCCTTCAATCCAGGACCTTCCAATCAGCTTGGGACTGCCAGGCCCGCTTTGGCAGAGGAGCCAGAGATACCATGACTGGGAAAAATCAGTGTGTGATTACATGAGGCAAGCAGACAGGCTGGAGCCGTGCACTGTCTCTAAGTCTGAGCATCAGAGTGGCAAATCTCCAGCTAATTGTAAAGTGTTTGTTTTAGTTATTTGTCCATTAATTGGTAGCAATATAACAAATATTAAAATACTTTTTCGTATTAATAACTAAACCAAATTAATTTCCCTGTGATTTAATTGCAACACTGTCTTCCAGTGTGCATCAGCAATACAGATGCAGTAATTTTTAAGCATGTGAATAAAAGGGTTTGAAGAAAGGATGTCACACTTCTTTGCCTTGAATTTGAACGGAAAGGGATCTAAGTGGTCACCTAACCCAACTTCATTTTCCCGCTGATGAGTAAGCCAAGGCCCAGAGGGGCTGAACATTAAATGATTTTCCTAAGGAGTCTCTGGTGGGTGGAAGAGGAAGTCTGGAACAATTCTGCCTTTTATACCATAACAAAGAGAACCCACTCACAACCTTTTTCTCTCCCTTTCTTTTTAGATTTATATTTTTTTAGTGAAGTAAACTTCACATAATATAAAATTAACCATTTTAAATGAACAATGCAATGCCACTTAGTACATTCACAACATTGTGCGATCACCATATATCTATCTAGTTCCAATATGTCCCTGGGTAGTGCAAACAGTTTGCACTCAACTACTAACTGAAAGGTTAGGGGTTCAAACTCGTCCACCAGTGTCATGGAAGAGAGCCTGATGATCTCCCATAAAGTCGATGAGCCAAGGAAGTCTATGGAACTCGATTCTACTCTGTAACACATGGGATTGCTATGAGTCTAAATCAACTCTGTGGCAATGGTATATATATATATTTTTTAATTCCAAAACATTTTTGTCACCCCAAAATAAAATCTTGTACTTTTACTCTACCATCACCATTTAAATTAAGATTATCCCCAGCCCCTGGCAACCACCAATCTGCTTTCTGTCTCTTTGAATTTACCTATTGCGGATTTTTCATATAAATGGAAGCAGGTGTGTCTTTTTGTGTCTGGCTTCTTTCACTTAGCATACTGTTTTTAAGGTTCATCCACGCTGTAACAGGTATCAGTACATCATTCTTTTTATGGCTAAATAGTATTCCATTGTGTATATGCTGTTGTTGTTAGGTCCACTGAGCTGGTTTTGATTAATAGCAACCCTATGTACAACAGAACAAAACAAAACGCTACCTGGCCCTGCACCATCCTCACCATTGCTATTATGCATGAGCCCATGATTGCAGCCACTGTGTCAATCCAGCTCATTGAGGCTCTTCCCCTTTGTCACTGTTGTTGTTGTTATGTGCCATCGAGTCAGCCCTGACTCATAGCGACCCCTCCTTGGGTTTCCGAGGCAGTATCACTACGGAAGTAGGATTGCCCAACCTTCCTTCCGAGGAGTGGCTGGTGGGTTTGAACCGCCAGCCGTCTGGTTAGCAGGCAAGTGTCTTAGCCACTATGCTACCAGAGCTCCCCCTTTGTCACTAACCCTCTGTTTTACCAAGCATGATGTCCATCTCCAGGGACTGGTCCTCCTGATAACATGACCAAAGTACAAGACAAAATCTGGCCATCCTCCCTGCTAAGGAGCATTCTGGCTATACTTCTTCCAAGACAGATTTGTTCATTCTTCTGGCAGTCCACAGTACACTCAATATTCTTCACCAGCATAATTCAAACACATCAATTCTTCTGCGGTCTTCCTTATCATTGTCCAGCTCTCACAAGCATATGAGGCTACTGAGAAGACAATGTGTTGGGTCAGGTGCACCTTAGTCTTCAAAGTGACATCTTTGCTCTGTAACACTTTAAAGAGGTCTTTTGTAGCAGATTTGCTGAATGCAATACGTTGTTTGATTTCTTGACTGCTGCTTCCATGGGCTTTGAATGTGAATCCAAGTTTTTATCCAGTTTGTTTAACCACCCATTCATAGACAT